GGAGCTAAGGGCCCCCAGGGTTCGGCCACATGAGGACCTGGGGACCTTACTAGGACATGGGGGCCAGAGAGAGACACTGGAGCCAGGAGGCTGGGTCACTATCAAGTGACTCTGAGCAAGTCTCCCCACTCTCCAGACCTGTTTCCTCATCTGTCATCAAGGGGGTGCTGGGTTAGTGTCTCTTAGAGTTAGGGGCCCTCCAAGAGAATCTAATAATTTGTGCTGAGCTTCTCCCTGTAAAATAGTTACGTACCCACAACGCTTTGCAAATCGTCTCAGGATATTTGGAGACCCCCCAGAGCACACACACCACCCTGTCCCAAGTTAAGAGCCTACATGCTGTTGTTAAACACCCCTTCCTTGCCAGTGCTCAGTGGGGACTTGTGGCTGACGGAGGAAGGAAGCCGGAAGAGACTGGTCCTGGTAGTTACAGGGCTTCACTGAGGGCTCCTCACCAACCAATTTACGAGCTTTGCACATTTGAACCAATTTTAATCCACACACCAACACTAAGAAATAGGGACTTGCTAGGTCCACTTACAGCTGAGAAAACCAAGGCACAGAGAGGTTAATGTACCTGCCCAAGGTCACACAGCTAGGAAGTGGCAGAGCTGAAATTCAAAGCCAAGCAGTCTGGCCCCAGAGCCAGTGCTGGTAACTAAAGGGAATGGGCTGGGTTAGAGGGTTTCGGTGGTGGACGGTGAGCACAGCACTGTAACCTGGGCTCCCAGAACTCTTGAGGGTACTTAGCTCCCTTCTCCCAGGCACTCCACTGTCTACTGCAGTGGCACTTAAAATGTTATGGGAGCAGAAGAGAGAGGGCAGGTAGTCTTAGGAAAATTTCCTGAACCTGTTTGTGTGAATGTCACCTAAATAGTCCCTTTATTAACAGAGGAAACATTGAAAAGAGGCAGGCCCTTAGCCCCCAGGAGGAGAGCTTGTTTTCTGGGTTTTTTTTCCCATTCACAAAGATTATAAAAGTGGCCTTAACTGTGCGTAGGAACTCATGAGAGGCTGCACCGTGCACCCCAGCCCCGGCCGCCCCACCCCCCAGCTTTGCACCCCATCTCAGCCTGGCTAATGGGGCTGCTCCCGACTTCCCTGGGCTTTGGGCAAGCTGGGTGGGCCTGGGGTGGGCCCCTGGTGGGTATGGGGAGTGAGGCAGACAACCCCAGCACCTCCTGTCTTACAGTTCCTTCGCGTCAACAGAAAGACAGACCAGTGACTTCGGAGGGGTGTCTCTCCCAGCCAAACCTGGCCCACCCACCCAGCCCCACGGAGATGGCGAACACGCAGGGCAACCCCATGGGGCTGGAGATGCACATGGATGTGCCTCCTGGGGAGGGGCTGGAGGAGGAGCCCACTCGTGGGCCGCGGTCCACCACTGCTCACTGAGCAGAGCATAAATAAATGTTCAGGAAGAAGTTCACATCGGGCAAGACTTCTCTGACAATCACAGCTCAGGAAGACAGAGTGGGAGGGCCCGCTGCTGGCTGAGCAGCCCCCCAAGGCACCTCCACACTGCCTCCACGTCCACTTGGCAGACCTCTTGGAAAGCAGGTGTGGTCCACAGACAGCCTGAGAATCAGACAGCCACCCAAACAGATGAAGGCACTCTTGGAGGGTGCAGAGGCTTCAGGAGAGCAGCACAGGCCAGCCCCCAGGCAATGGGTGGCTCTCACAGGACCCAGTGCTCCTGCCTTCTAGGCTAGGGGGGGGCCTAGAGGGTGACCCCACTCACGGAGGCATTCTGGGTAGGCTGGACCCGTGGTGTTGGTGTGCGAGCTGTACCCTGGAGGTGAGGGTGGCAGCTGCCTTCTGCTCTCTGGCTGCTCCTGGTGTGGGGCCCCAGGAAGTCGTGCCACCAGCCAGAGGCAAAAACCATTCGGGAAGGTCTCTGCTTGCCATCCTCTGCTGCTCACTGTCGAGTGGTTGCTGCAGACAGCTGTGCCTGAGACCACCCCTGGAAGAGGGGCTCAGACCAGTCTTTCCCAGTCCCCTCCTCCCCAGATGGAGCAAAGGTGGGTCTGGGCAGCACTTGCCCAGGGACCCTGTGGCCCAGCCCTTGTGCTGCTCCAGCTGCTCCTCGGCTCAATTCACTCACCTCCATTCACGCACCTCCATGCTCATCCCAGACCCAGGGGTCAGAGGACTCACTGCTGTCCCCTTTGTCTTTAGTCCTTTGTGCTAAAGGTCTTGGCTGGTGGGAGGGAACAGAGGAGCGTGGCCGGCTAGTGCAACAACTGCAAGGGACAAGCCCCCATCACTGCGGCAGCCCAGTTGAAGACCTAGGGACGGAGGAGTCCCCTGACCTCCTGAGCATGGGCCTTCAGCCAGATTCTAGGGGGCCCCCAATAGATGGGAGAGCTGCCCCCACCCTGAAGCCTTAGAGCCCTGAAGTCATCAAAGCAGTTTTCTGCCTGAGGTCTGTTCTTGCCCTCAGAGGGAAGGAAGTGCCCAGAGTCAAAGATGGGGCTCCCCCCACCCCCAGTTCCCATCTGCCCCTCTGACATGGGAAAGGGACAGCTGGGGCAAGAGGCCCACTTTGTGGTGAGGAGAGGGGGTGACAGAATCACAGAGGGAAAAAAGAGTGGCAGGAAATAGCCAGAAACAGGTTTCTGGCCCCTGACCTGGCAGGGGCAAAGGAGGGCAGGCTGGGCTGGGCCGGGGTGCCATCGGGGGGGCAGGCATGCCCTCTGGGCAGGGGCAGGGGCTTGCCCCTTCTTTCCCCCAGTCTGCTGAGACCCAGTGAGTCTTTACGAACGATGGAATGCTTGTGGCTGGCCAGGAGTGGGGGATGGGGAAAGAGTGCAGTCCCGGGTGGGCATCCCCGACTCCTGGTGCCCTTTTCTCTGCATGCGGGAGGCAGAGCCAGGACCCCTCCTCCACTCCAGGCTGCTCCTGTTTCACTTGGGCCCCACCCTGGCCATGAAATGTCAGAAGGTCGGCTCAGTTTCCCTGGTCTGGAAGCCAAATTCACCAGGTTGGCAGAGAGAAGCACCACCAGGAGGGACAGGCCAGCCCTCCTCCCCCACACCCACCAAAGGACCAGGAGCTACATTTTCCATCCAGGCCAACCCCACCATTCCCACACCTGGGTGGACCCCACCCCAGGTCCCAGCAGCCTTTGGGCGTCACAGCATGGCCACCCACGTGCTCAAGAGGGGCTTTCCCTTCAGCCTGGGAAAGCACAGGTGGGCAGAGGAAGGGCTGAGGTGGGAGGAGCCTCAGGGGTTTCCAACCAGGAAACAAAACTGAAAGGACAGACCTAGCTTCAAAGTACATGGATGTGTCACATGCAGAGAAAACAGGGCAGCCGGGTCCACAGTTCTGCTCCACTGAAGGGGTTGCCCCGCAAACAAGTGTGAGAAGACAAGAGAAGGTCTGGAAGCAGGATGGCGTGGCTGCTGGGATGAGCCCCCTTCAAGTTTCCCTTCACTTGAGGCCCCCCCAGTCCCAGTTTTCTTTCCAATAGCAGGGCAGGGGTCAAGGAGGAATCCCACCCATGTGGCCAGTCCCCGACTCCCTCAGCCAGGTGCCCAGGCTCATCCCCGCTCCCCTGACAGCTGGGCTGTCAGCACCACCCTACCTGAATGCCTGGAGGGCTGTAGTGAAGGGGGAAAGGAAGCAAGTCCCTTTGGGGACTCACCCAGTCTGTATGGCTCTGACAGCCTTGGGTGACCTTCAGGTCATCAAGGCCACACAACAGGCACACAGACATGCCACCCTGAAGGAAGCTGAGGGCAGGAAAAGCAGAGATGGGCCTAGCTGGGGGGCCAGGCAGAAAGGGGTGGGGCTGCCATCGGGAGGCCACCAGGTGGAAAGGGCAGCTCTCCCCACCGCAGGTTGAGATGGCTTGTGGGGCGGAGTGCAGAGGGCTCTCCTGCTGGTCATGGGCCAGAAGGAAAAGAGGGTTACAGCAACCATGTCACGACTGGTCCCTGTCCCTTCCCTTTTCCCCACACCCAACCTGGGTCCTGCCTGTACCATCAAATCCCCCAACGACAATGTAGCCCCTCCCTGATCCGCAGCCCACCGTCCCTCTTTCAAGGTAAATAAAAGCACCACAAACCAGGGAAGTTAGAAAAGTCTCTTTTAAGTTTTTAAATTAAAATTTCACCTTGGTGAGATGAGATTCTGATTTGGAAACTGAACATGAAGGCAAGCTCTCCCCTGCATCCATCTCCCCTGACCCCAGACACAGAGCAGGAGAGGCAGGGTGCCCATGGGACAGCACAGGACAAGAAAGTATAGTCCCCCACTGGGCAGAGCCTGGCTTTTGATTCAAGCCAGCTCTTCAGTTATACATAAGCCCTGCACACCCAGCTAGAGATTGGGTGACAACAGGAGAGGTGACAAGAGCTACAGAGTCACCAAGGGGCCACAATCAGCGAGCGACCAGGGGTTGGGAAAAGATGGGGGGGGATCCTGGGTCCCACAGCCCCAGGGCGGGGGAGAGCTCCATGGTGCCAAGAGGGCGTTCCACACCTTTGGCCTCGGGGCCCTTCTGAGACCCTCATGCAGTCGCTATTGGCTGCCCCAGGACTGGAGCAGAGGTGATCCTCTTCTCAATTCCAGGTGTGACTTTTGAAAGGAGGCAGCTAGCAGACACCTTGCGACAGCAAGATCACTCCATCTGGCTCTGAAGCAGTCCCCGGCCCCCACAAGACTTGGGTGGAAGAAGCAGAGCTGGCGCCCTGACCCCAGCACCGTAGGTGTGCCAATCCCACTCTCACATACATTAGTTATATTTATATATTCATATATATTATAGTTATATATTAAAAAGAGAAAAAACTTGCCTGAAGAGAAACTCCTGAAGGACCCAAGTGGCCCAGGAAGTTTACTGTCCCCCCCTCCCACAAAAATTCTTTTATAAAATCTTCCAGTGCGATCTTCAGGAAACCCTCTGCCCTCCCAGTTCCCCCCTCCCGGCCCTCCTGTGTCCCCACAACCCTGGACTGCCCCCAGCTCCAGCCCAGCGCCGGCAGCATCCAGTCTCATCTCTGGCCATCCAGCGCCGCCACGGCTTTCTGCTGGGCGCCCGCCTGCGGTGCTCCGGGGGGCCACGTGGGCTGTGGGCAGTGCAGGCGGTGGAAGGTGGTGGGGGAGGAGGGTGGGATCCATGGCGCCTGGTGGCTGGGAGGGGATGAGGCCCAAAAGGGGCTGAAGTTTGCAGGCGGGGAGCAGGCCACGGCCGTCATGGGGCTGTTGCTGCTCTGCAGGCCCTCGGAGGCACGAAGCTTGGAGAACATGGCCAGTGCGTCGGGGAAGTTGGGTGGCGTGGCAGGTGTGTTGCTGGGAGTGCACATCTGCTGGGAGAGAGCACAGGTGTGGGGAGGGCTGCCTGCCAGGCTCCCAGGGTCTTCTGGGAGGGGGCTCACCCAGGTCCACCCCTCTTTTACTCTCATTTTTCAGCCCACAAGCAACTTCAATAGGACAAATCATCCCTCTCCTCCAGAGCCAATAAAAACAAAAAAATAATGAGGACAAAACCCCACAATCTTATCACAACCAGGAGTATTCCTCAGGACACCCTGAGGACCATCAGAAGTAAACAGTTAATTCCAATTCCAACCAGAAGCTAAGGTGTCAGATTAAAGTGAAAGGTCAAGGCAGCAGCCCAGGACACCACTGCTCAGCGCCTCTCCTGGGTAAGGAAACCCGCTGGCTCCCTCCGAATGTTCCCAAGTTGTTGGTCAAAAGACAGCGGCCAGATCAAGGGTCTCCCTCCTACGCCAACTGCAGAAAAGCTACACCTTCGTAGAGTGAGGATTCTTCCCACATTAACAGTAACAGCCTCCAGGCTCACAGCCTTCGCCCCCAACATCTCTCGTCTCACAGTGATGCTCAGTTGTTTCAGTTATTCTCTCTACATTACAAACGATGAAACTGAGGCCCAGAGGTCACTTGACCAAAAACACATCCACAGCAGGGAGAAAGCTGAGAAGATGGAATTCCCAGGCTCCTAAGCTCCCAACCTCCATCCAGGCCATACTCATGTGCATTTACAGAGCCAAGTGCAACCTTAAGTCTGGGCTCCCAGGCAGCAGAACCAGGGGGTTTGGGTGCTTCTGTGTGCAGCCTCTAGCGCCATGCTGCTGGCTGCCCTTGGCCACAGGCTGGCAGTTTGCCAGTCTGTTGAGATCCTCAGCCCTCTTCCAGGGGGCAGTTACAAACAGTAGACACCTGCTGTCTTCTGCCACTAGCCTGGGGGCACGGGTTGGGGGTGCCATCTAGGAGCATCTCCTAGGGGTGTGGGGAAGAGGCAGCACAGAGAATAAGACCTACGCAAAGCTGGTTTGGACCTCAGAGCCGCTTCTGCCATTCCCAGGAAGCCATGAGAGGCCTTTGAAGCTCTCCTAATTTTAGCAACACCAGCCCTTCCCCCAAGCGCAGGGGTTGGGGGAGCAAGACTCTAGGACTCTACACCTTGAAGGAGGGAGCTTTCACAGCTCTGCAGTTAAACCCAAGCCAGAAACTGGGAATAGGGGGCATCCAAAAGGTGAACCTGGTGCCCTGTCAGCACCCAGAGAGCTCTGACCATGGTCTTCTGAAGGGCCTGGACTCAGTGCAAAAGCTTGGCCCCACCCAAACATTGCCCTCCTCCCTTCACTATTCCCTGCCCTCCCTCCCCCAGGGCTGACTTCTCGGCAGCAGGAAACAATGAATGGGGGTGGGGGCGGGGGCCAATTGCATCACAGCATCGTGACCGACTTCCCCAGTTCACAACGCCACCCGCTAAGAACAGCCTGGATTGCTAACAGGGCCTGTGCCTGCCTGCCTGTGTGAGCTGAGGCAAGTTCCCGAACCTCTCTGGAGCTTCGCTCTGCTTTTGTAAAGTCAGGGGTTTGGACCAGATGCTCTCAAATCCCTTCCTCCAGCTCTCCCGAGAACCCAGTGTCCACTGCACCCTGCCAATGTCTCCTGCTTCTGGCCTGTGGTGCCTTTCTCCTCTTCTGGGCCCCTCCAAATCCAACTTGAGAACCTTTCTTATCATCTGGGAAGCTTCCTCCAACTGTGGGAATGTACAGTGATCTACAGGATAACCATTTATCAGTTACTCATGCCTTGGGTCACTTCTGGTATTGCCATGGTGCTACTACTGGTCTCTGGTGTTTTTAACTTTTTCCTTCGACTTTTCTTATCCAAAGAAATTCCCATCTCTTTGTGGGCAGGGATGACGTTTCTCCACCTACACTGATGAAGGTTCAGTACTTTTGCATTGATGGATACACCGATCATGTCTGTTACAAATCCTGCCACTCCTTGAGGGAAGCTTCAAAAGGGGATTAAAATCCCCCTGGGATTTGCAAAGAGGCAATAGGAACTAAATGGGCCGAGTCCCAGCTCTTCCTGGCTAGCCTCCCTGTTCCTGGCCCCTTAGAATGGCTGTGCTGAAAGCCCTGGGCTTTTTGGAATGACCACAGCTGGTGGGAACAAACCTCGAGGCTCTTCGGCAAGGAGATCAAAGTAGAGAGCGTCAGACTCAAGGGCAAGGCGGGAGCCATAGATTTCCCTTGGTCAGGAGCAGGGGAGCGTGTCTCCTGGAGACAAGCCCCTCCTGGGTTCAATAGCCCAGTCTCAGCTGCCACAGCCCTGCGGCCAGCACCATTCTTCCATCATACTCCAAACACCATTTTTGTTTGATTTATATACAGCACGAGCCATTGCAAAAGAAAAGCTAATTTAAAAGATCAAGACAGACCCCTCGCTACTTGTCCTTTGTGACTAGATGAAACGGAGCCAAGGACAAGACATAGCAGAGGAACTATTTGCAGCCTCTGCTCTGGAGAGAGCCATGGGCAAGGACATCAAGTGTTAAAAATGCCAAAAATGCACCCCAGAAGCCACAACAGGTCTCCTGGGGAGTGTTTTTCAATTCCTATCACCAAGGAAGTCCCTCCTGCTCCTCCCCCAGCAGGGCTAATAGGTAACTAGGGAAGTGGGGTAGGGGAAAGGGTGTCCTGGGCCTCAAGAAAGCTGTGTACCCTGGGGCCGGGAGGGCAAAGAGAAAACAGCAAACCCCGACCCCAGCCCCTTTTTCCTGAACTGTACGTATCTTAGACTGAGATTAAACACAAATTCTTGGCTTTATCTCCGGTGAAAATCTGTGTCCTCATGCTTAGGGGGTAAGTCCTTTTCCCAGCTTCCCAGTCCCCGTGGGCTTTAGAAGGGTGCACATACCTTTGTGGGTAGAGCCCAGCTTCCGGAGCCAGGGTGGATTTGTCCCTTTCCTGTTCCCTGTAGCGCTGTGTGTGTGCAGCGGGAAGGGGGGCTGCCACTCAACGGCATTAGGGGCTCCCCACAAACACACAAATGCCTCCAACTCCCAGTCCCCTCGCTGGGCCCTTCACTCGGGCTCCCCAGTTCCCCAGATGTCTGGTTATCAGCCGAGCCCCCTCCCATCCACTGCCGCCCGGCTACTGCCCATCTCACAGCTCCCGAGCCCCTCGCTTGTCCTCTGGCCATCCCCCCGTCCCTGCGGCCCCCAACCTTGGCGCCCCTTCCTCCAGGGCGCAGCGCCGGGCCCAAGGCTGTCGGCCAAGACGCCGCAGCCCAGGAGGCGGGTCACAAACTTAGCCAGCCCGGCCGGCCGGGAGCCGTCTTTCCTGGAAGACATTTTGGCTCTTTGTTTACATTCGCGGCGCGGCGCTCCCCGGCAACATGGCTGTCACCGCGGGCGGGTGACAGCGCCGGCCCCACCGGGCGAGGCCCACCCGGCCCGGC